TATATATGTATATATATATATATATATATATGTATATATATATGTATATATGTGTATATGTATATATATATATATATGTATATATGTGTGTATATATATATATATCTCTTATTATTTAGGTTATTCAGGTTTTTGTGTAGTGAAATGCTGAGGCATCATTATAGATGGATAACTCTTCATTTCAACTTAGATAGAAACAGGTCGTCTAACAAAAGTTCAGCTCAAATCGGCGTGGTGCGCTGTACTGCGACACTCGTGGCAAGTGAGTACACGGTGTCGTGGACGTAATGCGCAAAAATAGATATTCCAGTGTTTTTTTAAGAACGAATATTCGAAACGTAATTTTTTGGCCTATTTATACAGCCCTAATAACCAGTGCTTTCAACTCTGCACTTCTCTAAACAAAAGGAAAGACGCTTGTATATAAAGTAGTGTGTGTGTGTGTGTGTGTGTGTGTGTGTGTGTGTGTGTGTGTGTGCGTGTGCGTGCGTGTGTGCGTGTGCTTGCAGGTGGTGTTGATTCACCAAAGATCAAAAGAGACGGTGACATACGCATCTTTGTGGCCCTCTTCCCTTATGATCCGGCCACTATGTCACCCAATCCTGATGCTGCCGAGGAGGAGCTGCCCTTCACTGAAGGACAGATCATCAAAGTACGTCCCCACACAGCTCAGACGCTACTGGAACCACCTCCACAATCATGCACATAAGCTCACATTAGGGGGGCACATGGTTAGATATGCACACTGTAGATATTGGTTCTCCCATGAGTCATTTTGAACCCCCCCCCCCCCCCCTGTAACTTTGATGTACTCCTCTCCCCAGGTTCACGGAGATAAAGACGCAGACGGGTTCTACCGCGGCGAGTGCGGCGGTCACCTGGGCTACGTGCCGTGTAACATGGTGTCTGAGATCCAGGTGGAGGACGAGGAGACCCGGCAGCAGCTTCTGCGGCAGGGCTTCTTGTCCACAGCGGCCTCCATGGAGAAGATAGGTAGGGTGGAGCTGTCTGAACACGTGCCTGTAGACAGATTTAGGACCAAATGACGAAACGGTGTGTTCCGTGTGAATCGTAATCGCGTTGTGTGCCGTTACATGTGTGTTACAGTTGGAGACGAGTACATCCTTTACCATAGGTGTGAATTGTAATGTTCTACTCGTTATGTATCCCCGCTGTTTGTGTTTAAAGTGGTAAGTGAAAAATAGCAGCGCAAGTGTTGCAGAATCCACACCTAAAATATCCATTTTTCATTTCCCTAGACTTCAAATTGGCCAGCTGTGTAAAGTTGTCATATTTTTTGTCTGCAGTTAATCGGGGAAGCGGCGAAAGCTTTTTTTTTTCCCCAGATGAGAGGAGGAGATGTAAACGCTCCCTCTGGCCTGTTGACCTGTTGATCCAGCAGGAAGCACAAAGAAAGCTCAGTTGAATTGAATCCAAAATGAATCCAAAACTTTCCCCCGTGGCATTCCTTTGTATGTTTTTAGTGCTTTTTGTTCACTCTTGTTGCTGTTCAGGAAAGCATAACCATCTATTCAGTCACTGACTTCGCTCTCAAGCAGGCGTCTAGAAAGAGAATAAACTTAAGTCAAAGTGTTTGCCTGTGGCGAGGCGAGTCGAGCAGCAAAATCAAGCTGACACTTTGCTTCTGTTTCCTGCTTTCTACCCAGAGAGCGGTATAACTGCAGATGGTTTAACCTTTTCACTTCCACTTGTTCTGTGTCTGCTGCTCACTGGTTGTCTTTGTTTAAATTGCTCTTCGCTGGCTTTTCATTGTCTACTTTTTGTCTGGTCTGCTTCTCTCAAATATTGCATCTGTTTTTTTGTTTTCAAATTTTTTTATTTATTTTTTTTTGGTTTTCCTTTCTAAAACTCCATAAAGGCTCTCGCACACACGCACAGCTTCCGCGTCGCCCGGTTCCACCGCCGAAACCGAGACGATCCAAGAAAGGTGTGTCTCGCTGCAGATTGCGGCTTCCCACCTCCCTCCTTCACTCTCTTCTCTGGTTTGCTTCTCTTTCTGTCTCTTTCACTTTAGCTTTTTGCTCTTTCAGTTGCTGCTTCTCACTCAGCGACCAGGGGGGATTTATTTAGGTCAGCTACTGTAGTAATGAAATCAGACCGCTTCCCAGCAGTCTGGCAGAGTACTAGCACTATGACAACTCTCTACAGTACTTCCATATTCTATAAGTAAGGCTTAGTGGTCCACTTTCCTTCTCAGGGTCATAGACTCTTCAGAGTCATTGCATCTCTTCACAGGCTAACCTTTTTATGATGTTTATTTTTTTTTTTTTTCACCAATGTTAAAAAGCCACATACATGAGTACTGAGTCAGTCCTGTCAGCTTTCATTGATATTCATGTAATACATTGCAGACAAAGCAGCAGAATGTGGCTGTTACGGTCGGACCGAATAGTCCAAAACCTCCAGAGAAGTCAAGATTTATTGAACATGACAAGTTCTAAACATTTTACAGCATATTTTTTATTCCGCTTTAATTGAATATTTGTTGGCGTTTAGCCTTTTAAAAACATTTTCCCTGTGCTCTAAAAACAGTTTGCTCTCCCGCTGGCCACGAGTTGGAGGCCCGCACCTGTATTAAAGTCCAGCAGCAATGTAACAGCCCCATACATTATATTTATATATCCACAATAACAAAAACACTTTTATTAGTTTAATGACGACTTACATTCAAAGCTTCGTTCAAAAGCCTCTTTAGAAGCTTCGTATGTAAAAAAAAAAAAAAAAAAAAAAAAAAAAAAAAGACGAGGACATTCGGTACAGCACTAGTGGCAGTCTGATGCTTATTGCTAACAGAAAGTCCTTTTGGCCGGTATTCTGCTCCGACGTCACAACTGCATTACATGATCACCTCGAGTTCTGCTGTTGAGACATCCATCCCCTCTGATCTCCATCTGTGGCTTTGTGTGATGACTGAGACTTGATACTATAGGATCATTCTTTGGCCTGTGAGGTCTGGTATCATTCTGTGATCGTGTCTATGCTCTCTTCCCGTACCTCGTCTCTTCCAGTGGAGTCTGCCGCACTCTGGGAGGAGAGCGTAGACTCCTCCAGCCAAGGTTTGTAGTGAGCACGTTGACTCCTCTGCCTCTCTGTTTTCACCTGCATGTCGACCCTCTCTACGTCCACCGGAGGACCGCATGTGTTTACTTGCCGTTTCATGCATTTGCGTGCCATTTGTGACCTTTTTTCCTTATTGGTTGGACTGCTGATAACGCCGGGGCTCACCTTCATTCATCCTTATTAGGGACTGTTTGATCATTTAGGGGGATACTGAAGAATTTGACCTTTTTAAAGATCCTCAATAACAGACTTCTAAAAAAGAATGCACGTTCCTTGTGTTGGAAGGAATAATAGAAACAATATATTTGTTTTTTGAGAGCAGCATGAATTAAATTTCCAAATCGAATGTCTTCTTCTTGACACGTAGCCTCCTTTTTGTTCTACTTGGACCCTATTTTCCCATGTTTTTCTGTTTAAGTGACGAATGAGGACAACAACTTTGAGCGTGCAGTATTGAAGGAGAACGCTAGAGATAGCAGCCGCTAAACGGATTGTAATGTAATCGCTCAGGGAAACTCACTCAATACTGGACCACACTCAGATATTGGTGTCCAAATGAGTCACTTGGACACAAACACATAAGAAAATATCACGCAAGTCCCTTCAATTTCTTCATTAACTCCCAGTCATGTACCGTGTGTCAAGCAGTCCCTTCTCCTAACTCCCCTTTTCATTTTACAGTTCAAAGTGGCATCATATTAATCATTCAATCATTTCAGTTGTCTTCATTTCTTACAGAACAAGGAGCTTTTCCAATGAAAACAAAAATGCTAACTCTCACTCCTAATTCCTCATTTTCTTATTTCCATGTGTTTGACTGCAGTGGTGTGACTTTTCCTCAGCTTAGCATGACACTGAGTGAGTCGGACGTGCAGACACGATGATCTGCATGCTGATGAGCTGTTACTCCTCTAATTATCAGCATGTCGGACTGTAACGTTTGCCCCCCCCCTTTGAATGACAGATCCCAGCCAGACTGCCCCCGCTGCAGCAGCTGTGGGGAACCCGGCCCCAGGAGCTCGCAGGATGGTCGCCATCTTTGATTACGATCCACGAGAGAGCTCCCCCAACACTGACATAGAGGTCAGACGTGCATAATGTCTTCTTTTTTTTACCCAGACTACGGCACAATATGTGTGCTAGTTTTTGCTCATTGTCTGCCTCCTTCTTTCATGACGGGATTCAGGCTGAGCTGACCTTCAGTGCCGGAGACATCATCCATGTGTTTGGTGACATGGACGAAGATGGCTTCTTCTACGTAAGAGCAGGGCTGTCACTAACTATTATTTTGCATTACTGATTAATCGTTTGGTCTTAAAACATCATTATTTCTTAAAGCCCAATTTAACATCGTCGTATGTTTTGTTTAGTCCGATTTAAAATCCGAAACGATTACATTTACTGTAATGTAAGACCCATGAAAAGAACAAATTCTTACAATTATAAACCTGGACCCGTCAACATTTTCGCTTGAAAAATGACTTGAATGATTAATCGATTATGGAAATATTTGTTGATTAATTGTCTGTTGATTGACGAATAGAAAATGACAACATATGGGTTCACAGTTGTTGAAAGGCGCCCTCATGTCCTCCTTTCTTTTTCTTCAGGGGGACTTGAATGGACACACCGGCTTGGTGCCCTCCAACTTCCTGCAGGCCGTCCCAGAAGACGCTCCAGCCAAACCTCAGTCTGCTCAGCCCGGACCAGAACCCCGGAGAGAATCACAGGTGGCTTTAGCACGTCTGTCCGTCTAGCATGCACTTCTGTGTTTGGAACCGTGGGCGATACCTGCAGGCATACGTTATGCCTCATTTTGACTTCTTTTTTTTCATGTATTTTCAGCGTCTGGTTGCTGTGATTTTCTGTTGCGTTTCTTTAATTTCTGCCCTGTCGCATTTCTTTTGCCCCACTATTTCCTGCATGGCCTTTTGCAGAAGCAGAAACGAAGTGTACACTTCGAGACTTGATCGTAAGTGTTTTCAGATCGGACTCTAGCGGCTCAGTGATCACCGCTAGTGTCCCTGTTTATGTCCTCTTCCCTCCACCTTAACTGTAGTCCTGCACCTGGTTTTAGTTTATCAAAACACGGGTCAAGAAGTTGAGATCTCAGATCCACTGCCTCCTCCTCTGTGTGCGTGTGTCCTATCCTTGTATTTCCCTTTTGGTGTTAAACTTTCAACCCTAACATAGCTTTAGATATTGTTTAATATATTTGGCTTGTTTGTTCTGAAAGTCTGACTCTCTTCCTGAAGTGTCCCCGAACGACTTCTGCGGAGCCACAAGATCCTGGGCCCTCAACCCTAGAAGAGGCTTCTCCCCCCCAAACAGAAACTCCTTTCCCAGACCCAACAGAGCACACGGACCTGCCACCCAAACTGGCACCCACCGCGAGCCCCGCGTCAGACCCGGCCCCCGCTCCGGCCCCTGCTCCGGCCCCCGCTCCGGCCCCTGCTCCGGGTCTAGCAGCAGCGGAGGCCTGCTGCTCCCCTCTGGCCCCCCTTCCAGCAGACAGCCCGGCGCAGACGGACCGCTCTGCGCCGGGCAAGAAGAAGAAAGGCTTTTTCTCCAAAGGCAAGAAGCTGTTCAAAAAGCTGGGATCCAGCAAGAAAGATTGAGTCGGCAGATCTGACTCAGAATACCCGCGTCACATTGAAAGCACTTTTTCTATCGTCACAGTCGGTCTCGGCTGGTAGCCGGTGCGGTTCGGGGCCATCGGATCTAATAACCGATGCGTCAACCGTCAGTAATTATACATTTGCCTTAGAGTACTGCTAGCAGCTGGTAAATATTCGAGTGCATCGACGCCCTGCTTACAGCATCACACTAGCATGTCGAAGTGCATGTTGAAGTGTGCAAACGCAAATATATTCTCTAAATACTACCTAACTAAGCATTTGCTAAATGTTCAACTCGGCAGGCTTTGATGCTTGATGTAACGCACTCGGTTGTCTCTTAACGGATCGGTTATATTTAGAACAGCTGGATACAGAACGGTGTGGAACAGCAGCTCAGACACAGCTAATCATACATTAGCTCTAATGTTCATGTACTGGTGCCACTTTATTTATTTGAAGCAAACGAACAGCAGCAGTCTGTCTCTTCCTCCGTGTGACTATGAAGAATGCACTGTCCCTCCCGATCGGATGTATTTTAAATACCCGTCTGCTCGTCCCCCTCACCTGTGTTTCTCGTCTTTCAGTATTTATACAGTACTTTGTACAGAACGTGTTATTTATTTGGTGTCCGACTCTTGCCCTCACCATCACCGCATCGCATGAAGTGACGTCGGGGCAGGAGGTTTAGTCATTGTAGAGCGGTCAGAGACGGTGAGGCTGTAGTTTAGATGTAACTAGTTGTGGGGTTTTGAGGTTAACAGTAGAGATTGTTTATTGAAGGTAAAGATTGTGAAGGGTTGAACTTCTTTGATGTGTGTGTGTGTGTGTGTGTGTGTGTGTGTGTGTGTGTGTCCACTGATAAGACTGAAAACAAGATGCCTTTGTCAGACATTAACACAGTCACACTTGGCCTAAATGTTGCATGCTACATATTTCAGAGAGAGAGAGAGAGAGAGAGAGAGAGAGGCAAACATGACGTAGTATCTGGCGATCAGTAGGCTTCTCTGTTAGCTAGCAGCGCTGCATCTAATGATTGTCATTATCGATTAATGGTTTGACCTGTAAAACATGCAGAATGTCATGGAGGGTCTTGTTTTGTCCCACCAACTGTTCAAAACCCAAAGAAAATGAGTTTATTATAATGTAAGACGAGGGAACAAAAGCAAATTCTCACATTTGAGAACCTAAAATCCATCAGATATTTGGTGTTTTTTCTGAAATGATTATCGGTTATCAAAATAATCCGTTTTCTCTCCATCGACTAATCCAGAGGTTTTCAAAGTCGGACACTGTGCCCCACCCCCCTTGGTCAAAATCAAGACAACTGCGACCGTCTAAAAGCCCCGCCCTGCCCCCGATTAGTGTGATTTTATTATGATTATGTGTAGGTGGATGGATAGAGGAGACTGTCGGGGTTCCAAAAATATACGATCCACATTCTGAGCCTTAGAACCGTCAAAGAAGTATTGAAAAAGTTCATTCTCATGGCTTGCTCTAACATTTTGAACTACATTTCCCATGATTCTAGGGGCTTCAGGGGATGTAAACACTGGGTCAGCGACTTAGCTGTGGGCTGTGGACCGTTTGAAGACCTCCGGACTAATTGATTAATCGATTGCAGCGCGTGCTCATTAATACTCCAGAACCACAATACTGAAAGTATTCCTTGATTTATTTGATATGCAGATTAGAGTGAAGCCGCGTCCTGACCACTGCTGACGTTAATAACATGCACTCTATAAGCTCCTGGGATTCATTACGGTTTGACCGTAGCATGTGGGAACAACACTCACTAGGATTTAATGTCGCTGCTGTGATAAGTTCTATCTTTTCTTTTGCCTCCATGTTTGAGTTTATATGCGTGTGTGTGTGTGTGTGTGTGTGTGTGTGTGTGTGTGTGTATGTGTGTGTGAGAACATTGAGTCAGACAGGCTTAACAGCATCTAGCACGGTGTTTGTGTCCACACATTTGCATCATCAAATTTGGTCGAAGTTTGGTTGAAGCTAAATAATACAACTTTAGCAATATCGCGCAATACTGGAACAAAACAGGGATGCGTCATGGTGTGAGACAGCTTCACTGGCATTAAGATGTAGTACAAGTATTGTGTGTGTGTGTGTGTGTGTGTGTGTGTGTGTGTGTGTGTGTGTGTGTGTGTGGACCAGGCCTTATTGCTGAGCGTGTTGGTCCGTGACAACACGTCCAGGGGTTCTGATTGGGTCTGCTGTCTGTTCGGTAACTTCTCAGGTTTTCACTTGTAGTTTCTCATCGATGCCGAGCCGCCCGTTGACTCTGGCTGTCAAAAACTGCAGAAATATGCCAAAATCGTAGGTGCTTTGCCCGTTACCATAGCGACGAGAGGCCGAGCATCCGGCGGGGGGGGTTCAGTGGGCTAATCCGGGTCAAAGCACGGAGCGTCGTTCTCTTTTGTAGGTCAGACCTGATCTCACCCCTGTTGTTGGCGGAGGCACACCTAACGACACATGATTTGTTTCTTTGATGTCATGAATGTTTTAATTGTTTGTACATGAAGACATAAAGGGAGCCAAGATGCCAAGAGCTAGAGGCAGGAGGGCGGATCCACAAAGACACTTTAGATGTGAGATAGCCGGGACAGAGGCAAGACTGGGGCTGTGCTGTGTGTGTGTTTTCTTTTTTTTTAAAAGAGGGTCGGATGCTCAAAAGTTGCCGAAATGTACAGCGAATATTTGTACTGCTCTTGTATTTGACGGCCTTCATTGCACAAGTATTCCTCTAGCTGCTTCTGTAGTGAGTTAGGACCTAGACCCCCGTAGGTAGCGTGCTAGTTGATCATATTTAGCCTTACGAGCAGACCTTGTTTAGTCTCATTATGTTGTTTACAGGATGTTCATTGACTGCATGCATACCAATGTCGTACCCATGTTCAGCCTTATTTATGTTACGGTCATATTTATGTGTTTCCAGGGCGGACTTGTCTACAACATTTGAGTTGTAGATTGTCGACGCAGTGGAACAGAAGCTGTGTGTATATAATGAACAGTGTTGGGACTTGTGCTCTATTTTCATACAGCGCGGGAAACCTTTTCTTTTTCTTTTTCTTTTTGTTGTCTTCCCTGAACCTGCATTCATTGTTTCTAAGTGGAAGATTTACCTTTTTATATATTAATGTTTTTATTACCCTTTTGGAAGCTCATGTGTAAATATTTTTGTTAATATTGTTTTTCAGAATTATTATAATTTTTTTTGTTTTGTTTGCATGTCCAGACATTGTGGATGGAGGAAGAGTAAGTGAAGATGTAGTACACGGAGGACTCGTTGACTTGAAACTGTGATGGTTTTCTTTCGATATGGATCTTTTTACAGGAATAAAGTATATTTTCACAGAAAACACCAGAGTGTGTGACGCATGTGGTGTTCCTGGGAAACAGAAGTCGACACGAGGCCCTTTTTTTAATTTTCATCTTTATTGCATTATCACACAGATTACATGTCCATGATTATCTCATTTTCCTGTTTTGTTTTTTCAGTACAGTTGAAACAGGTGAATTATAAAATGGAGGACAGGGTTTGCGAGCTTCGCCCCGCGCCGCGCGCCGCCCATGTGAACCGACCGGGGCAACACTCTGAGCGACGCGTGGCTTCGTGAGACGAAGCAGCTTCCTCTTTTCTGACTTCCTGCGCGGGGCTCCACGCGGTCGGGCCTCTCATCTCTCCCCTGAAGCCAACAGTACACTCATCCATAAAGTAGGAAACACTACACTGTGGCGATGAGTTTAGTAGTGCTTTCTACTTTATGGATGACTGCACTGTACGTCCGCTGCTCGTCGTCCGTCTTCTCTCTCCTTCTGCACCTGCACACACACACACCAACCCCCCCCACCCCCCCACCCCCCACGCCCAGACCTCTCGGCTCAATGCTCCAACAGCCCTCGCTTTAATGTCGAACCAGAAAAACTCACACTTCCTGTTTTGCCTTGAAACATTTGCATGCATGGTGGTTGTTTTTTTCCACAGCGTTCAAATCTAAGCGAGGCCTGATGCGCATGACAAAATAATCATCCGAAACACCCCACCCGTGTTCCCTCCAGCTGCCTCCCCGGTGCGGCGTTTGGGGAGAAGGTTGGAACTGAACCGCCTGCCAGAGGAAGCGCTATCTCGAGGAAGCCATTTTGGCAGGCGTGAGTGAGCTTTTTCTGCCCGATCACTTTGTACGTTCAAAAGTCTTTTGAAATGACGACAGACATTCGTTAACAGTTCAGAAACAAATTGGAGCGAATGAAAAGGATCCAGTAGATCCACTGAACACTAAAACAAATACATAATATAACGGTAGCAAAAGTAAAAAACAAAAAAAGAGCGTACAGTTTTAAGTACAATGTTTTTTAATCCAGATGGACTTCTGAACAGAGGTCGTTAAAAATAAATGAGTTAACGACATTAAACATCTTTCATTATCTGATGGATAAAAAGCATTTTCTTCTTCTCTTCTTCGAAAACAAATAGTTTGAGCGTTAAATACGCGGCGTCGTCCATCATACGTTACCTCCGACCTCCATTTCTCTTCTGTACTTTCAAGTGACGACTGTCCGGGCAGCCTCTCTCGGGTGTCTTCTCTCTGTCGGTCCGAGGAGCAGATGAAGAAGAAGAAGAAGAAGTCGTCTCCTTTTGAAGCCTCCACAACCACGTGATGCAACCACAGGAAGAGGTCTAACAGTCACAGCCGCTCTCCTTCTCCACTTCCGTCTCAGCGCTCTGCCTTCTGCAGACGCTGTTTCAAAATGCTGACGGCCACTAAGGAGAGCGTGTTTCTCAGCACAGTGACACAAACGGGATAGTGTCAACATTAAAACACTTTTCTTTTTAAGTACAAACACTAAAAACATATTTTAATAATTTCCTTTCTCTTAATTAACTTCAAATCGAATCCTTTTCAAGGCCCAAGCTCAGTTTTTTTTGGTGCCGGCGAGCGATGATGTCATTGTTACTCGTGTGGACATTCTGTAGCTTGGTGCAGTTCTGTCCACACCGCAGTGCAACGTGAAGTTGGGTAATCGAGCCATAGTAAAGCTGAGGGAGATTAGGACACACACTGGTGTGGACATATCTGTAGCTTTCCCATCAGGTGGATGTGACCTATTTACAGCTTGTTTCACGTTGAACTCACCGATGAGCTGACTTCTATTCGCTATAAATGGCAAAGTCCTCCAAGAAACGTTTTTGTCAGATGATTTTATCATCAATGACACGCAATAGTTCTGTTTGGCAGAAGCGAGGCCCTCCAGCTCAGATGGTGTAAAACGATAGGAGCTACCAGACGAGCGTTGTCAACTATATTTCAGTTTGTTACTATTTCAACTGAAATCAGTTGTGAAACACCAAAGCACACCGTTAAAGGACAGGTTTACCTTTAGTTCCAGCGTGTCCTCGTACATTAAAGGGTTACTGGCTGCTCTAGTTCTTCCTGGCCATACTGGCGGCAAAGAAATCCTTTTTACAGTTCAGATCCTTCAATTTGAAAGCATGTTTCCACAGAAGGGCGACTGTGTGAAAGAGCACTAAGAGAGGATCTCTTTGTCCCAAGTTAAAGATGGACTTGAACATTTTTTAAAGTGCCTTGTTTGCTGGTTGAGGCGACATTTCCGTCACTCACTACCACCAGTACCTTGTTGGTAATCTGTTGGATTTCAAAAGTGAAAGGCAGCCGGTTTCAGTTCCTTGTAAATGTCCAACTGTAACCAGGGGGGGGGGGGGGGGGTTTCTCACAATGCTAACCTGGGGAGGGGTTTTATTGGAGGGGCCTGTGCTGCATGTACAGAACAAATGCACCTTTTCACAACCTTAAAAACGGATTCTCTCACTTCTTTTTGCTCCTCTTGTCGTGTGCAGTCTGATCTGGGTCACCAGAAGCCTGCTCCCTGTGTGCACTGTGACGTTTGCTGGTTAGCAACCATAAGGCACAACAGTTTGGGTTCATTGTTAACGCTCCAAATGAGTCTTTTAGATTTGCAAATAGGCTGCTCATATGAACTCAAAGTGTTGGTAAGGTAACACGTTTGTCCCTTCCACTTTTCGTCTTCACACCAGCAACTTCTTATTTTCATTCTTCCCTTTGTAGTCTTTTGAAACGGGGTGCGATCAATGAACGTAACCTTTCAGAGGACGATGTGTGGAAGCCATTAGGTATGCCTGTAACACGGATTCACGCAGAAGTACTCTGATCCTAACGTTCAAGAAGCAATACAACAATATAAAAAATACAATTAATAGTCCTACTTAAGGAAAACACAAGAAGTATTATTAAGTACTTGTTTCATCCCTGTAAACAATATATTATATACATTATTATTATATTGTTAATACCGTTGCATCAATCTGAAATGTCTAGAACTAGACGCATAAGTTAGAAGCTTATGTTGTTTTTTTAATGTAAAATCTAATCTAACTGTAGCTGTCACATATACATAGTGGAGTAAAAGAAGTGCAATATTCCTCTGCGTATTGTGATGGAATAGCAGAATAAAGTAGCAGGAAATGGAAATACTCAAGCAGAGTACCTCAGAATGATACTTAAGCACGATGCCTGGGTACATGTACTAGTTTACTTTCCATCCCTGGATGTCAGCTCAGTGCATGCAGGGTTCAGACGCGTTCTCACATCGTTTCCCTTTGAGGATTTGAAACAACATGGGTGTGTATAGAAAGACGTTTGACACGGTTACGGGTCTGCTATAACTTTATTCCCATTGAGTCCGTTCCTGTTCGGGAGGTCATGTAGGTTAATGTCTGAGAGGAAGAAGAGCGGATGTCATTCTGACATCTAAAAGCTGAAATCCTACAGAATGTAAATGTGTTGGAGGCCACCACACACGACAAAGGCTTTGGAGAAAAGATGACCCGGTTGTGATACAAAAACTCATAACAGACGAGGGAGGTGACGTCAGCTGGTGCTCCTGATAAACAAGTCTCTCACACTGAATGTAGGAGGCCCAGTGGGACGAAACAGGAGCATGCTGCGTGAGGATTCTGGGTATTCCTCTTTTGTATTCAGATTCAATCCCTCATGATGCTCCAGTGACGGATAAAACGCGTCGCTCACAATGCAAACTTGTTCAAAACATCCGACATATGGCGTCTTTAGAAGCCACACTTTCCAAATCTCCTGACTCCTGCCCTGCATTTTTACTAATCCCTGCCCTCTTCAACTTATTGAGTCACTCTGCTGAAGTGCTGCCGCTCCGTGAGCCAGCGAGGGAAGTGACCCTAACTCCCTGTGTGAAGAGTGCATGCACTAAAGCCGGGCCCTGATAGACCTTATCAGGGCCGGCAGCCATTTCCCTTCCCCAGGCCGTGCTCTCCAGGCTCCTCCTGGGCCCCGCGGGTCGGGTGTCGACACCACCGAGCCACCCGGAGGCTTATTTCCAGCCCAGACCTGCGAGCTCCACGGAGGCCTGAGCTGCTCCTGCTACTGTGTAAAGTAGATTTACTCCCGACCTGTACTCAGGTCAAATTCTGAGGTAGTGTGTCCATTTTATACATTTATTTGACAGCTGTAGGTTCTCTTCAGATCAAGACTCATTTCATATGAGTTCCACCAGTTCCATTTCGCCTCTAAGCTTCTCACATGGTGCCGTTTAATCGGAGTGCATTGGTTTTTCTTTTTGTTTAGCACATTTAAACTAAGTCTAAACTTTAAGTCTGTCTCATCTTATTGTCAATTTACCAAAACCTTAAGTGGCCAGAAACCCAAAATACAAGAATGAATGGATCATTTACAAAGTTTTAAGTTCAAGAATTTTGAAAATAGTTGTTTCACTATCTATACAGCGAGGAAATGAAAGTATAATACAGTCTATTATTAACAACTTGTTTGGGGGCAATTTTTCATTTAGAGCCTGTGAATGCCTGTAAGTTACTGAAAATATTAGTAATTCACAGTTTTAAATGTGTCATGATCTCCGTGTGATCTCCGTGATCTCTGTGTGTGTGTGTGTGTGTGTGTGTGTGTGTGTGTGTGTGTGTGTGT